TAGCCTAGGATTAATATACGGACGCTGATGACATCGCAATTTTTCGACGGCTTTGAAGCAGTATATACAATTTATCATAAGTAATATCATAAGGGCATCTAATTTTTCGATTTTTTTTAACAGGAAAAAATTAGATACCCTAATAGTATCTGACAAGACTATTTCATAGGTAACAGATTATTCTGCTCACACATAGCCTACAAAACATACTATGGTTCTTTTTACGGTTTTTGGCGGTTCGAAGTAAAACTACAGGAATTGCTTTCCATCCATCTCTCTCATACATACACATGTTACCTACCCCTGTGTATGAACGTTTGTCCGGTAAGCTCAAGACACGTTTTTTAGTTGTGAGTCTCCGTATTGAAAACTTTTTCGTTACGTACGAGTGCCCTTGAATCATATTTGTCAGAGTGACAACTCACTTGACTTAGGCGTACAATGTTTGAGTTGTCCTGTTATTAATCTTCAATATAAAATTTTCCAATGCCCGGAAACACGATCAATGAAGAAGGCCGACAGGTCGTTTTAAATTTATTAGAGTATTTCCAGGAAGAGAATGAAAACAAATGTCCCCTGTTACCCACTACATGCGTACTGGAGCGAGTAGCAGATGCGCTAAAGATTAGTCTGCTCCCATGGTACGGATACTCGATCTGTTTACTTATTTCAGATGGCGTTGATGACGTAACAGCCAAGAACAGTGACTACAACTAAACCTAGTAAAGTACCTGCAATTTTTTTCTTTCGCATTACCAGCTTCCCTACTAAACCTTAAAACAATATCTTTAAATGTATCAAACATTATTTTCCACTTCATAAAATACATTTCTTCATTTTTTTTGCAATGGTATTGCACATTGTCTTCACAACTAGTTCTTTGTATTTTCACCGTTTTCTTTCTTCATATTCCACGCCCAATCTCTGCATTTAATTGCTCTAAACAAATAAATTTGGAAAAAACTATCCATGAGTTACTATACGTAATATTTGGGCCTACATTTCTAAAATACAATTATACAAGGTATCCTCATTTTCACCCACATATCAAAATATGACTTTTTAAAAGAAATACCTCAAGTTGTTGCATATTTGGATATAAACCAACTCAAAAGAAGAGGAATGATATAACTTACTATGGGGATTTTGTAGGTAACTACTGCTGAGCTAGAAAAACCACCAACTTTGACAACCCTCCAGCCCAGCAATTTACCGCTGATTGTCTTTCCAAAAAATCTTATACACTCCGGATTTAAGCTCATTCGATAGCTTTCTGAGTTCACGTTTGCGTTTGTACAGGGTGGTCAAAAACCCAAAATATTCTTTTTCGAAAAGAAAGCACATATTTTTGCTTTTTGAGATTGCATTTATATATCTACTGATTTTATCTATTAACAAAAGTGTTTATCAAGCCTTAAGAGATAGTACCAGGGAAAGTTTCCGTACCGAACTTACCCTGTATAAGCGCAAGGCTGTACTTAAAGCGTTAAGTCCCTCCCTGGCTAGTCGCAAATCGGATCTGGTTGCTGCACGGCCGGTGGACCGTTTCGAAAATTAACGGAACAGCAGTGGCTGATGGCAATTTCTGATTTTTTATAGGACCTAGCGAGTTATGCACTAGCAAATATAAGCCAGAAAGGCAATTAGCCAGTAAACAAACACCATCGCGATTCGGATCGGTGTAATATGCGGAAATAATGAGCTTAACGGACAGTTACTAAATCACTCTGTTGAATAATTCGTTATAATTCCTTTCATTAGCTTATATGTTTACAGGTGGTTCTGTAAGGGAATGAGCACAGTCAGATGGTATATTTTTTGGCGGGTCATACTAGAGCTACCGGCATCATTTTGATACATCCATCTCTCTCACTCACACCTATGCTTGCCTAAGCGGCAGAAATAAGGATTTTGTTCAAACTTATTGAAGTATTTTGTGAAAGCGAATAGAAGCAATGGTCTTTTTATTTAACAACTGATGTGAGGACTTTAACAGCGGTTTGCTCAGTACGCATGTTTTCTATGGAGCTTCAACAAATCGGAACAAACTACAGCGTTTGATGATCTTTTCGTTCCCATTACTATAAATTCGATTTCTGCTTAGACGGACGGTGTCACTTTATTAATTCCTGATTGTGTAGTACCACCATATCTATATACACCTTATGCCAACATGCTCCTCATTTATGGGGAATGTAGATGGAATGCTAGTGCTGCATCACATGGTGAAGAAAGATCCGAGTACTTTAAATAGAAGCAAGCGCAGGAGGGTTCTTTTTACAAAACAATTTACCAAATATATAGAGGTGCGCCACTGGGCATTTACAGAGACATGTGATACCAGCAATACGGCTGCCCAGCGCACCGTGCCCATGCAGTATGAGAATATCTTGATGCGAAATACCCAAGCAGATGGATAAGTGTGGTCTGGTACAATTTCTTGGCCAGCCCGTTGACCTGACCTAAACCCAGTCGATTTTTTTACTGGGGAGAGGTGAAAGAAAAAGTTTAGATGAAGTGCAGCATATTTGGAATACTGCAGGTAACTTAGAATACTTATCGAAATAAATGTAAACGCTATCTATCTGTATTCCACAAGTAATAGAAACAGGACGCTATCTTGACATTTCCTGCTACCAACCACATGAGAACGAAACGTCTATTTTCGTGAGAATGCAATCATTGATGATCATTTACTATGATACGTATAGTCTTCATTGCAATATTTGAACTCTTATGTGCCTTATTAGTTAATATTCAGAATTAAAGATGTACATGGAATTTAAGTTATCTTGTTGTTAATTTGGAATAGGTACGGTACTTAATATGCGAATTGTGGGCTCACGCTGCTTGTAGTGGTTATGAATCAGTCTGTATATCTGTGATTATTGTAAGATCACTAAGCTATAAGTTTAGGCTAAATACTGTTTTGACTATTGTTACTGATTT